AGAGAGAGAGAGAGGTGACGTATTCCACAAAGGATTTTTCTTGTCATACAATTCTGCCCTCGACTATTCCACAGAAATATTTGAAAAATCTTTGCCTGACAGACTGCTCTTTATGAAACATAATCTTCCTTTGTTTGCACATACAACACAGGCACATAGTCTTTCTTTCTTTGCTGTTATATATCATTTGTGCATTTACACATACACAGAAAAAAAATCTTGTGTCAGACCCCTTACAGAGTGAAATATAAGCCCCTCGCCAGCCCTTCTGTCTGTCTTGCTGCCTGTAATAGTCTGCCTCTGTTCTCTGACGTTGGCTCTTGTTGCAGACAGAAATAGAATATCTCTTCCCTCACTTCCATAAATCGCTCGTGTGGTGCAGTGAGACAGCTGTGGACCCCACAATACCTCCCTTTGCTTTTCTCCTCTTTTGTTTACATCCTATTATGTAAAGTCAGAGCCATTCCAGATATTATATTGTATTTATTTTTAAAGTAACTTGTTTAGATCAGTCGAATGTGTTGGTCACCTCCAGCCTCTGAACCAATCAGCCTGTCGCCCTCCTTTGATATATTGCCCTCATATTGCCTTTGTCCTTCCTCTCTCTCTCTCTGTACGTGTCTTTCTAATACACATCTATCACTCAGCTTGATTTAACTCCTCACACACACACACACACGTGAGATCCCAGAGTTCTGTCTGCTTTGTTCTGACAAGGAAAACTGGAATGCACACAAATCACATGAAGGACACAAAGAACAACTTTAACAACTCTCTCCTTGGTGCCCAAAAGGTAAGAATAAACTGTCACCTTCATACGTCATGGAAGGTGAAATACACAGTGTGAACTGTTTCTATTTCTAGAAGGTTTGAAGTGAGACAAGTGTTTGAATGTGTCATTTGGAATAAAAGGAAAATCTGTTGTTTAGGATTACATTTAGGGCTAACTATGCAAACAGTGTTATAATCTAATTAGTGTACTTACTAAGTCAGCTTATTACACTACAAACTGATTTTGTGCCTGTTTGTGTTTCAGGAGAAGCTTATTCAGACGATTAAAAAGATCAAGCATGAAATTGATGAATGTAACGAAGCTGAGAAAGAGGCCTTTGTGGACGCACTGGAGGTCGAGGTACTGCCTGATTTACCTTGGTAATATTTATATGACTAAATGAGTATTAATGGCCTTTTCTTCACAACACCACTTACTGGCTGACATGGAAAGATAACTCACAAAACAAAAATATGTGTCAATATTACAAAATAAACTCCTTCCAAAAATAAAATTAACAATATTATAAAATATGTAAAACAGAATACAGTATTTACTTTCTGATAATATGACATTACTTTTTTATTTCAACCCACCATTTCCGTTACTGAAAAAATAAGGCTCTGGCTGTCATGTGATAATGTCAAGTTTTAGAAAACATTTTATTTCTATCTATCTATCCTATTTTCATCTTTTTTTCTTTCTTTTTTTTTGTAAATTCTAAACTTTTCTTCAGACCCCCAGCACCATTTTAGAGCTTTTTATATGGCCCATTCAGAAACGGTTAACATGCATATTTAAATAACTCTTGATGCATGTCATCATGTCATCAAGTTGTATAAATTCTGCAGCATGTAAAACTCTTAATGAACAATTTCTGGTATTAAATTTGAGTAATAACTTAATTATTAAGCTAATCTCAGCCTGCTCTTTTCTCCAGAGTTATTAGTCTCTCTTCCTTCGTGTTTCTCATTAAGTCATTAATGTCTCTTTTTTCTGCTTTTTCACAGAACAGATTTGAAGAGATAGAACATGAAATTCGAGCAGAGTTCCAAAACCTCCATCGTTTCCTGGATGAGGAGGAAGAGACAGACCTGGAGCAGCTGAGGAAGGAAAGGGACAAACGAGTGAAGATCTTAAAAGAGAGAGAGAGAGAAAGATTGCCATGCAGAGTAGAGATCTAGAGAAAGCCATCGAGACACTGAACTGCAAACTGCGGGAAGATCACAGCCCAAAACTTTTGAAGGTGGATTTTCATTTTAAGTTGTCTGACAGACTAAGCAGTAAAATCTTTATCTTTAAGCTTTAAGTAGTGTAGTGACCTGCACTGGGAGAGAAACAATTCCTTATCCTCTGTGGATTGTCTAATTTAAACAAAGTTTTTTATTTTATTTTATTATTGTGCATTTAACTACTAGAAATCATCTACTCTGACCACATCACATATTTACTGTAAAATTCTAACAGGGTTAGTTTCATAGTTCATGCAGTTGACACCCACAGAACATGCTAGATGCCATTTGACTCTGTTCAGATCAAGTGCCTAAACAATCACATGATTGAAAGAGTGAGGAATCTTAAGAGCTGACTGCTGCATTCAGGCAGCAAAACATGACTTTGAATCTGAACATTCTTGCTCTAAACACTATATTTTTAAATCCATTTAGGAAATCAAAGAGCTTCTGAAAAGGCAAGTGTCTTTTCCATTTATTCTTACTCACTTGGTCTCTGATTCTCATATAATCATAATCATTGTTGTTACTTTTCTCATTCTGTTCACCATCTACCTCTGTTCTTGTTCAGCTATCATTGTTTATCTTTATCAGATGTGAGGTGAATTTCATTCGTCCTCCCCCAATAGACAGCGAAATTCTCTCTGGTCAGTTTGTGGGGCCCATTCAGTACCGGATCTGGAAACACATGAAAACATCCCTCTACCCAAGTACTAAGACTAAATATTAAATAATATAATTTTATTACATACTAAAATGTAATAAAAATCTGAAACATTTTAATGTCCTTTACAGATCAAATTCTCACTATAGTGGTGGTGATTAGGTTCATCCCAGTGACTCGAATGTTTTGAATCAGTTCATCAATGATTCGTTCAGTGATTATTTCTGCAGGTTACATCAAACAAAGTGATTAAAGCATTCCGTGTGTCCGAAATTGTGTACTGTCAGAGTAGGTAACACATTTGAATTTAAACTTACTTCGCAACCATTAAAAAGTATGCTCTATATAGAATGAATATGGGTAATATCATGAATGAAATTCTGACATATTATGTCCGCCATGTTGTTACTATTATGTGACCTACCAGCATCAGTTGCGTTGCTTCACTGCCATTCATAAATGCTCTCCCGTGGCCTCATGGGATAGTAAAAGCATTCACGCCATGTCGTAATTACTGTAATTCCAAGATGACAACACGTGACGTTCTACTCTAAGCTGAATTATGCGTTTCTATGGCAACACTATCAAAACCAAAGTGCTCACTTGCTCGCAGAACTCGTAATTACAATTTGTAAGCTCGGAATGTTCTGAGAGCTACAACTTGGACCACATGACTGCTGTACCACCTGACCACAGCCAGATTCATTTAGGCCCTACTTAGAGGCTACCCACGAGTTTGAGGACATGGACAGCACCGAGTAGAACGTCACGTGTTGTCATCTTGGAATTATGGTGTCCATGAACTGCACAGAATCCAGGCGGAAGTAGTAGGTCATCCGGGTACTTTTCGCCTGCTTTTTTTCAAATACTATGAATTCGGACATACCACACTTTTGGCATACTCTTTTCCCACATACTGTATAGTAGGGAAGCTTATTTGATTTTGGATGCAGCGATTGTGTTCATTCAAGCCGTTCAGACGCAAATCACTAACTTGTTCAGTGAAGGAAGTACACAGTACGGTCATTCAGTAGAATGAATGTATGATTTGCTACTTCAAAATGCTCGCATGCTATTACGTGCTATAGTCAGTCATTGAAAGACAAAAAGCCATGTTCTTCAATCAGGAGACTCTAAAAGAAGAAAAATATAAGTTAGTTTGAGAAAGAGGATGAGAATAATTCATTAAAAAAAACAAATCTTTCACAAACGAAACACCACTACTATAGTCTAGTAACTGTAAGTTAAATGTGTATTGTTTGTTACATTAAAATTATTGTGCTACATATTACTAATTAATCTGATGTAAATCAATTCTGAATGACTTATTTGCATACACAGACATATCCACGTTGACTTTTGACCCTGAAACGGCACATCCCCACTTGACCTTCTCAGCTGAGAGAACTTCAGTGACGTTCGAGGAAGACAAGGTGCAGCCTAACGA